ATGCTTGGATGAGCCTCACCCAAGTGGAATCTGCAGAAAAACCCAGGTATGTGGGCCCCGTGACTGAGACCTCCAAGCCCACTTGTACCAGGACTGGGCCTCCATCCCCCGGCTCCCCAGTTTTCCAGCAGTTTGGCAGTCACAAACTGCCCCCGGTGCCACGTAATCTCATCAATGGCCAAGATCCAGAGACTATAAACCAAAGTTCCCAGAAGAGAGTGCTATAGAATTTCCTGGAGCACACGGCCGCATTTGTGGCCATGCAACCTCTTTTACTCTAGTCCACTGATGTATCAACAGTAGCACACATTTGTTTCGTTTTAACATACTTGCTTGTATTCTCCTATTTACAGGTTTAAATGGCTCCAGAATGAAATACAACAACATACAACAACCTTCACAGGTTTTCCTCTTATTGTGGTGGAAAGGTGGTTTGGTGGTGGATTGGTGTTTGAATATTATCTGTAATGAACTGTTGTGAACTATTTTATGAAAATAAAATATTTTAAAAATTGCAAAAAAAGAATAAAGTAAAAGAAAGAGGACGTGGATGGGAAGGAAAGAGAAGACATGTTGCAGAACAGACGTGGTTCTGGTCCCAGAGATGGAAATCCTGACTTTCCCATCCCCCCACTGGAGTCCCAATTCCTACCCCACCCATATCCCAAGGTCCACAGTGACACTCTAGCTTCCTGCAATTGAGCCCTTTGACCCATTCCTGGCCCCCCTCCCCCGAAGGGACTATGACATTTTCATGGAGGGGGAGGCCACGCTGTAGATTGTGGATCTGTTGGGAATGCAGTTTTGGGAAGAAAGGCATCATTGAGCAAGAACAGTATTCCTTTCACAGCCCTGCAGACGGCCTGCACATAAGAGTGGTGAGTGCAGGGCTCCCCAGTTGCTTGTTCCCCAGAGACTCGGCATCGCAGCCCCTTGACTTGCAGCTGGTGACCCTATTTGGCCTTGACGTGCTCAACAGGAATACACCAGTGCTGTGAGTGTCAAGAAATAAGTTCTAAAGGCCTGATGTACAGAAGAGAGGATGCTTGCCTTGTTTGAGAACAGCCTGGGTTCTATCCCGGCATCCCAAATGGGAATGGTTCTCTGAATCCACCTGGAGTGATTCTTGAGTGCAGAGTCAGGAGTAAGCCCTGAGCAACGAAAGGTGTGGCCTACCTTCCAGATGCCCCCCTGCCCCCTGCCCTCCCCCCCAAAACAAAAATATGTTCTAGGAAGAGTTCAACATACTGAAGAGTGGCTTTGTACACAGGGACGGGGATTGATTGTCAGCAAATTGGGGGCCCAGCAGACTGCTGGGAGTCATCCCTGAGGAATCTGGGAGAGAACCTGAGCACTGCTGGGCATGACCCCAAGAAGAAGAGAAAAAAGAAACAAGAATCTTTGAATGGAGAAGGAAGAAAATCAAGGAGTAGGTTTACTGGAGAAGAGGCCTGGAAAAAGTAGCAGAAGGGTTAAGACACTTGTCTTATATCCTGCTAACTCCCTTCAAGTCTCCAGCACTACACATGGTTCCTTGAGCACCTGCAAGGGCACCACCGGGTGTGGGCCTCCAAATCCAAAAAACAAAATGAAATTAAAATGATGGATTGGAAAACTCTTGGTACCATGATTGTGTTGCAGACAGAGGAGAGCTCCTGATGATGAGATTTTCCTGAAATAATACCAAGAAGAAGGGTTGGAGCTATAGCACAGCGGTAGGGCATTCGCCTTACAAGCAGCCAACATAGCTGACCTGAGTTCGATTCCTCCGCCCCTCTCGGAGAGCCCGGCAAGCTACCGAGAGTATTCGATATGCCAAACACAGTAACAACAAAGTCTCCAATGGAGACGTTACTGGGCCCGCTCGAGCAAATCGACGATCAACGGGAGGGCTTTACCTTTACCTTTAATACCAAGAAGAAGCTGCATAGGCATCAGGCCTGAAGAAGCCCCAAGACATGAGGGCCACGTTCTTCTAGATGTGAATGCTCAGCTCTGCAGAGATGGAGAAAATGAGCTCCCACCCAGAGTAGAAACAGAGATGCTCTTCAGAGAAAGGCAGAGCCTTCAGAAAGGCTTCAAGCTTCAAGCCTTCAGAGCTTCAAGCATGCTAAAGATCAAGATATGAATAGAAAGGACCATCGAGAGTCCAAGTCTATTTTCCTATGACAACACCCAGACAAACCCTTCTATATGCAGTCAAGGTGGTTTCTAGAAAACCTTCAACAATCTTAAATAAACCTCCTCTCAAAAGCCATTCAATATTAACAGCTATGATCCAGAGGCTCATAAATAAATCTCTGAAGAGAGCAAGAAGCTGCAGATATGCCTCTAGACCTCACCCAGGCTGAACTTAATATCGTGGCAGCTTGGAGGGGGGCAGGTAGAGGGACTCACCCACCCCAACAGAGCCCTGGCAGCTGAATACCTCCAGAACTCAATTGTTGCCATGCTCACGGCCAACCTCCACAGGCTCGGAAGAGCCTCATCAATGAGTGAATCTGCTGAAAAAGTTAGGTATGAGGGTTTTGTGACCAAAATCTACAGATTCTAGTAGAGTCAGGGATAGCGACTTCTCCCCCATCTTTCTGTTCTTCTGGGAACCTGGAAGTCATGCTCACGAACTGCCTCTGGCACCATATAAGCTCATAAACCGTCATGATCCAGAGACTCCCAAAAGCCATGCAGGGCTTTTTCCCTCTGACGAAGCCAGTGTTCTCTCTCTTGAACACTTCTGTATCTCTCTCTTTCTCTCTCCCCTCATCTTTCTCTAAGTAAATTTCTCTAAATAAAATTATTTAACTTCTATTTTGCTTCTTCCTGAAAATCTTTCCATGAGGGAAGGCAATGGGTCTGGAACATTTGTGCCAAGGTTGGGATGGACTTTCCATTTTGCAAAGAGCAATTCCTCACTCATGCCCAAGTGCTCCCCAGGAACTAGGGTGGTGGGCACCAGAGACTGCATGGTGCAGAACAAGTGGATTTCAGGAGTGGCTTGGCAGCTGTCCAGAAGGGTGGTGGGACATGAGCATCTGTGCCATGTAGATGCTCTTAACAGACTTTAATCTGTGCTGACCGATTCCAGGTATTACCTGGGTAGTGTATAGGTGGAAGCACTATTTTCTCAAGGCTACCTCTTTCACTTTACCCACATCACCTACAATAATAGTTAGTGAAAAGAATATTCTGAGAATGAACTAAAATTGCCCATCATACCTAATACCTTGGCTTCTAGTCTAACCCAAGGACATACATCGGTGCCATCTACACAGAAAATAATGCAGTGGCTCCTTAAATAACTAACTTATATAATTTATAGCTTATATAGCTTATATAACTAAAACACTAGAGGCACAACAATGCTTGGCACAATCACAGCCTCCAGGCTTTAGAGAGCCAGAAACTGCTTCACAGAGGCTGAGCTTCTAAGAAAGAACAGAGACTTAGACTTTTGGGGAGTTCCTAGCTGCCTCCTGAGGCTGCCCAGCGTCAGGCTGGTCTCAGGGAAGAAAGCCAGTAAGACCACTTCGGGTTTGGATGTTTCCTGGCATGTTTCTTTAGGATTCTTTCTATTTCAAGTTTATTTTTAGCCTACTTTCAGCATGCCGAACATGATTGGCACTCAATGCCTCTTTTGCAAACAGCACCCAAAGGGAGAAAGAAAACAAAAGGGAATGCCCTGCCACAGGGGTGGGGTGAGATGGGGGGATGGGAGGGATACTGGGAGCACTGGAGGTGGAGAATGGGCACTGGTGGAGGAATGGGTACTCAATCATTGTATAACTAAAACCGAGGCACAAAAAATTGTAAGTCTACAACTGTACCTCATGGTGTTTCACTAATAAAAATTGAAAAAAAAAACTTTAGTTTTGCATAAGCTTCAGGAACGAAGTATATTCAGGCAAGAGGAAAGTATTCCCAAACAGCATTAGCTGTGGTCCCAAAGAGGCTATTTGTTAGGTTCAAATGTTGTCTTAGAGCCAGAGGGAAGGCTCTTGCCTTGACTGTAGCTAACCTGGGTTCCATTCCTGCCACCCCAAATGGTCTCCTGAACAGTGCCAGGAGTGATCCCTGAGAGCAGAGCCAGGAATAAGTCCTGAGCACTGCTGGGTGTGGTACACTACCACACCTAAACAAATGGTGAGGTTTTGCAGGACTGGCATGGGGCCCCATTCCAGTGGGAAAGATGGCCTGAGAAAAGTGTGGGGCTTGGGCCTGGGCAGATGGACAGGGCAAAGTTCCCCTGAAGGGAAGTGTGTCAACCAGGGTATGTACTTCCACATCAAGAGACACCAAAGGGAACAGGAGAGACTGCTCAACTGATGGCATGTGCTTTGTTGGCAGGAGGCCCGGATTTGATCCCCAGAACCCTTACACATCCTTGGAAATAGCCCCCTTGCACCAGTGAGTGTAGTCCGCAAAACGAAAAATACATTTAAAAAAAGAAAAAACATGCCTAAAGGTTTCCCTCAGAAGTTAGCACAGAGGCTGGAGGGAATCATAGCCAAGGGGAAGGCTGCCCAGCTGGCACCTGGGTTGTACTCAAGCCAGTATATGTCCCTGAGACCAAAATATTTCGGTGGGTTAATTCATAATGCATGTCGGGATTTTGTTATAACATTATAATCAAATGACAGATCCATGTCTAAAGGAATAACTGTGAGAAACATGTTTGCGATCTGCGTGTTTGTTTATGGGGGTCTCTAAAGCAGGGCTCAGGCTGGCAGTTCAGTAGTTCAGTACAGGGGTCCAAGGATGCAATCACACTGCTCGCATGATCAGGGATACTTGGACCACTGTTGGTGCGAGGGGTCCCCAGGATTGCCCCTGGTGATGCTCTGGAGACCATGGGATGTTGAGAATCAAACCTGGGTTGGATACATGCAAGGCATGAGCCCCCAACTACTATACTATTTCCTGGCCCCTACTTCTTTTTTTTTTAAACAGATGCCTGATTCAGTTATTCTGAAGAGTTAAAAAAAAAATAGTTTGGTTCTTACGGTTGATTCCGGGAGAGCAGAACTTGGCTCCTTTATGCTGATCTCCAAGCTACTGTTGTCTTGCTGTGTCTCCATGGGGTCTCCGTGCACACTGACCGTGGTATCCAGAGTCTGGGGTGAGGGTGCTGAAGGGACTGGGGCCAGCATGAGGCACTCCTGTTCCTTCTCTACCTCATCAGAATGAACTGTTTCTCCATTCATGCTGACTTTCCCATCGACCTATAAAATCAGAACCAATAAAAGCAGCTACTTCCCCTGGAAGATGAGCTCCCAAATTCAGAACCTCTCAAATATGCACAAACACAGCCAGGCAATGAAGGGCTCTGATGCTTCCGCTGGCTCTAGAAATGAGGACTCCTATAAATACTATTCTTTTTTAAAAAAATTATTATTGTAACTTTAATAATTTAAAGTTACAATGATACCTAAAATAATGTTGATACTTAAAATAGCTTTGATAGAATAATTTCCTATTTACTTCTGAAAAATATATTATAGTAACTAGAGTATTTTCATCCAAAGCCAGGCATAATAAGATAATAGTTTACTTATTTAATCTAGTGTATAATTTCTTGATATTGTTTCAGTGGTATTAAATACTAAGGAAAACTAGCCCACATTACTTGATAGAAAAAGAAGCTTAAACATTGTTTTATATAAATACTATCTTTAAGGCTCTCTTAATTTTTATAAAAATGTTTTCATATGGAATATTTTATTAACACAGACATTGTCTTTGAAATGTGCACGCTTACTCTCACTCACTCACCTGCCCGGGGCAAGGAAGACTCAGCATATGAGTACAGGAATTTAAGGAAATGAAAGACTCTTGGGTTCTAGAATTCTTTCACATTCATTGGTTAAAAAAATATTAAAAAACCTGTTTTGATTGTGGACCAAGTACATCTCATGTGTGCATTGTCCAACAGTAGCACAATTTGGGGGTTATGTCTGTTTCTTCCTAGACTAGAAGTAGATATGATTGCTTTCAGCTATATCTAAGACCATTTAAATTTATCATGGAAGTATTTTCCCTACGTACCTAGAGGTCCCTAGGGTATCAGGAAATTAAAACCGTGCCACTATCTGGAAGCAGAACACAGATCTTGCTTACAGAGACAAGTCAACTTCCAATCTTACAAGAATCCATTCATGTTCAAAATCTGAATTGAGAGGAACTTGTAACCTTGAACTGTGTGCAAACCACAACTCCAGAGACATATCAACATCCCGAATGTAAATGTGGAAGTTTTGCTTCTATATTATAACTAATGGCACTTTAGGGGCAGGAGCAATAGTATAATGGGTAGAGCATTGGCCTTGTAGCACATGTCTGACCCAGCTTTGATCTCTGGCATCCCATAATTGTCCCCAGAGCACTATCAGGAAGACATTGGGTTCTGTTGGTGTTGGTTTTTAATGTGCCAGAGTGACAGAGCCAGGAGTAACCCCGAGTATCACCAGATGTGGCCCCCCAACAAAAAAAACAAATAATCATATGCCAAACACAGTAACAACAAATCTCATGATGGAGATGTTACTGGGCCCGCTCCAGCAAATCAATGAACAACGGGAGGACAGTGACAGTGACAGTATTTTGGGAAAGGGGGGGTCAAACCTGCTGGGAAGGGGTTTGTTTTTGGTGGGCAGTGTTGGGGGACTGGGATGGAGCTGGGTGGCCCACATGCAAAAGGCTGAGCTCCAGCCCTCTGGCTCTTTCCCCAGCCCCTAAGTGCATTTTCTTCACATTTCTTTCCATGCACTTCCTGGAATCCAGGTTTATTATTTATTTATTTATTTTGCTTTTTGGGTCACACCTGGCGATGCACAGGGGTTACTCCTGGCTCTGCATTCAGGAGTTACTCCTGGCGGTGCTCAGGGGACCATATGGGATGCTGGGAATCGAACCCGGGTCGGCCACGTGCAAGGCAAATGCCCTACCCACTGTGCTATCTCTCCAGCCCCTGGGATCCAGGTTTAACATTTAGAGAATTCCTCCTACCTTAAAGGTCTTCAGGACTTCCTGTGAGTTCTTGGGCTGAGAATAAGGCTTGGCTGTCAGCATAGGCACTGCTTTGGGGGGGACCGTTTTGCTGGGAGACCCACTGCTAGCAGCCATGCTGGCCTCCTGCATGCCGGGGTGAGAGATGGTGGTCTCCACGGTGGCAGTGAACTTGGGGGGAGGCAGTGACTGCTGCCGCAGGTACTTCATGGGGTTGGGATCACTCCGCAGGGAGGAGAAGTTGGGCTCTGTGGAATGGCTTCTCTCTAGAATCCTGGGCATCTCCAAGCGCTCCAGCACCGCCTCACTGATGGTGAATCTCTCAATGTACTGCTGCAGGATGCCTTCCGCCTCCTCCTGGGACCGCGCATTCTTGTAGGCCTCATGCAGCTCCCGCTCTCGCCGCTCTCTAGAGGAGGGATGAAGGGAGAGAAGCAAGAATAACATCAGCAACACAAACACGGGAGGGCTGAGGACACAGCACAGGCTACCTGGGACAGGGGTGCAGAGCCTTTGCAGCTCATCAGCCGTGGGTTTTAGAGAAAATACAATGGGCACGTTAAAAACCAACACCAACAGAAAGAACCCACTTTTCTTGTACGATCTCTCTGTAGGTTTTGATGCTTTTCCTCCGTTCACTTATCCCATCCTCTCCAGCCAGTAACTTCTCCATTTTTTTCCTTTCTTCCTCTTTTTTGATTAAGTCCTGGGAAGCACTTCTTCTACGACTCTTCCAACGAGCCAGGTCCTAGGTGGGGTGCAGAAATAGGGGAGAGAACATCCCTGATCAGACTAGCCCATAAGCTCTTTCCAATCTGCACAGCTGAGGGGGCATTAACTCTGGGGCACACTGACACCAGGGCATTCACACTACAGGTACATCTGGAGGAAGAGGAATGGCAATATGAACACAGAGTCCATTTCATGTCAGTTTCCACACTTTACAGCATTACTTCACAATGCAATAATGAAGTCAGAAACTTCATTTCTTCCTATGTATGCCCTCAGCAGTATCAATGGACTTGTTTCACTGTAGGGGAGTAAGAATAACTCATAGGACCAACACAATTTCTCTAGAGAAAGGAGGTTAAAAAAAAAAAACTAAACTAAAAGGCAAGGGAAAAATGGAGTTTGGGTTCTTCCAGAACTGATCAATCTCTGTGTAAATGCACTGATAACCAGAATGCAGTTCTGTGGCTGTGGGAAACCACCCCATCCCCATCTCACCCATGCCTGGCACCTAATGCATGTTTCTTAGCTTCTCTGTACCTTGGTTCCGTCATCTCTAAAATGGGTACAATAATAACATCCTCCTACAGCCTGTCATGAGAGTTGTGAGCCATAGGCGACACACAGGAAGAGAGACCGGCAGACCTCAGAGTTCTGGGCAAATGGTAAATTCAAGTTTATAAGAGCGATTATGAGAGCTCTCTGGAAACACTAGCTTCTCATCTCTTTCTCAATGCATTGCCCTCCCTGGCTCTCAGCACACCTTCCTCAGGTCAGCAGCTGCCTTTTCTCTCTCTAATCCTGCTCTCACTCACTGATACTCACCTGGGACTTGCCTGTGGTACTGAGAGCCTCAGGCATTGCTATATGCGACATCCTAAGAGGATGATGAGAATGATTATATGCCAGCAAGCACCTAGAATATGCCTGGGTGATTGGAGCTGTACTACAGTAGGTAGGACACTTGCTTTGCACGCGGCTGACCTGGGTTCAATCCCTGGCATCCATATAGTTCCCTGAGTCTCACCAGGAAGGAGCTCTGAGTTCAGAGTGAGGAGTAAGTCCCGAGCACTGACTGGTGAGATTCCAAATCAAAATCAAACATTTTTTTTAAATAAGAGAGAGAACAGGACAAGCCCCAGGAATTTGCTCGCTGTCGGGCTGGAGCGACAGCACAGCAGTAGGACATTTGCCTTGTGCGCAGCCAGCCCAGCCGAGCCGGGTTCGATTCCTCCGCCCCTCTTGGAGAGCCCGGCAAGCTACCGAGAGTATATCACACGCACAGCAAAGCCTGGCAAGCTACCCGTGATGTATTCAATATGCCAAACATAGTAACAAGTCTCACAATGGAGACGTTACTGGGCCCGCTCGAGCAAATTGATGAACAACGGGAGGACAGTGACAGTGACACCATTGTCATGGTCAGATTCAAAGCTGTGCTTCAGAAGGACACTGAGCCCTTCCCAGCTCCACGTGGGCCAGTTACTGGCTCCCCTCTACTTGCTCTCTCCTTTGTGGCCAAGCTTCTAGCAAAGGTGTTTGCTAGTGACATGTCTGGGTCATTCACTCCTCGGACTCCAGGTTGCTATAACCTTCTTTCAGTTGCCACAATGATGGATGTCAGGGTTTAAAGTTCTCTTTAAACTTTAGGAGGAGTGTGGGGGGATTGGGTAGGGGGACGGGGAATAGCTCTGGGGTCAGGCGGGTACAAGATCAGAACAGGCACCAGGACTGGAGTTTAGTTGCAGTCCTGCATGGCTTCCCTGAGCACTGCTAGGTGTAGCCTTGGTGGCCCCCAGAACCTGTGGGCCAGAGCAGCACCTGGTCATTGCTGCAATAAGCCCGGTGGGCAAAGATTGCCGGAAAGACACCTGCACCCCTCACCACACCAGCCAAGCCTGGGCGCCCCCTTCACCCAAATAAATAAAACCAAAGAAAGTTCAATGCTATTCGAGGCTCCCATTCCTGGGCTTTGCCTTGATTCCAAGAGCAAGTCTCCCTGCCCCGCCTGCTTCTCTGCTGTCCGCAGAGCTGCCCGAGGCCCTGGCCAGCACTCACGTCTTGCCATTTGTCGTCCTCTTCGCGCAGCTGGGTATTTATCAGCTGCAGCTGCTCCTGGCGGGCCCTGCTGTGCGGTTGGACCGCGGCTTCCTCCTCGCACCGCATGTCAAACATACTCGTGCTCCTGAGCGTGGAGAGAACAGACAAACCCCCGCGGGATCAGCGCCCACCGTGTCGGTCCGCCTCGGGCCGCGTGGGGGCGCTCCCGCGCCGGGAGAAGGGAAAAGAGCCGCGGGACTTGCAGTCAGTTCTGATACCCCCCGGAGCGGGCAGTGGGCATGCTGGCAGTCCCCATCCCTTCTCCTTTGGTCACAAAAGGCAAAAGTAACCACTTTTTTTTTCTGCAGCAGTGGCTGCATCAGCTCAGCTGCATTATATGCAGCTGCCAAAAAAAAAAAAGTTTAAAGAAGAGCTAGAAAAGTATTCTCAGGGCTGGGTTCCTCATTCCGAAACGCATTTAAAAATACAGGAATTAAAAGGAGTCGCACAGGGAGAGTGTGGGGAGAGAGATGCGTTGCATGAAGTGAAATGTGTAGAACAAGTGTTTCTGTGTAAAGAGTTGGCTTTAGTCAGAGGTAATTTTTTTATTCTCAAAAATTTTAAGAAAATAGACATATGGTCCCCGAGTCTAAGACGTCCACTTTTTCATACTGGATTTTCTGAATTGGGGATACACTGAACAACTCTGAATTTGTGATGCTTTTGATATTTGACGTGGTTCTTCCTATTTATATTGCCCTAAGTGGATCATGCAGTTGATGGCTTCTTGGACTCAGAGACTCTTAGGTATTTTAGAATAACAGAAGGAATAAAATATGTCAATCAGCATCCTAATATTCTCCCCATTGCTTTACTACTTTTTGGGGTTTTTGTTGTTATTGTTGTTTTTGGCGACTTCTGAATTTACTCTTTTAAAAGAAAAGGGATAGGAAAGCAATTTCTGGAGCCCTTTATATCCCTGATCTTATATGTGAGCTTATTAAATATTTGGCAAGACCCCGGGCTTCTCTAGTGATGCTTATCTGTACCTGTGTGATAGTGAAAGCTGGGAACAGCAGGATGGAAACAAATAAAGAGAAAAGCAATATCCTCCTCCTCTCTCCTCTTAAAAAAAATCTCCTTAGGAGGTAACTAACTTAGGAGCCACTCACATTAAATAGTTCCCTAATCAAAAAATCTTTGCAAGTTCAGTGGGATCTGCTGGGAACAGAAGTCAGTAAAGGTCCCATCCTGAAACCAACTTTACACAAAGAAGAAAATCCCCCGTACTCAGGCCCCAGTGAGTTCCAGGCATCCTCAAGGATGCCCAATGTTGCTGTCAACAGGAGCAGACTGGAACCAGCATCTAGAGACGCCAGTGGGGTCCTGAGCAGGCAGCTCTCTGGAAGTAGATGATTCCCCAAGCAATGTCAACAGCCCTGGGCTTTAGTTAGTTCACTCAGTATGAATTTGAGTGGAGGTTCCAGCTGTGGGTGAAGTTTGACATGAGAGCGGAAATGGAAGGTGTCGCTAGTTATTCCCAAGGGGAACAGGGCTGCAGAAAATGTCCCTGCCTGACTCTGTGAGCATGGCCCTGCTGACCAGCCATGTGGACATTCCAATCCTACAGTGTAGTGAGTGTTGGAGGAGCCACTTGGCCTTACCCAAAAATACCAACATGGAGGAGGACTAATAATTTGCACCTCTATCTTATTTTGAATGTTGGGTAGGAAAGATTAAGGGATTTGTGGGATTGGGTAGGAAGATCTTATCCATGATTCTTCACACATCATAGATCGAAATTCCCATCCATAGAGGAGAGCTCCTTCTCTAGTGACTGTTTCAGAAACATCTTACCTGTACATGGAATTAATTCAGGCAGTTTATCTTTTAAGGTCTCTCCAATCTTAGACATGGTGGGAGACGCTAGGAAAGGCTGTTCTGGGACATGGATCATTTACTAGGGTCTAGGCAGATGGCATGGGAGATGTGGGATCGGGGACACTCCTTTCTTGGACTTTTCCACTGTTGTTTCTCAAAGGGCAGGACTTGGGCTGGAGAGATAGTACAGCAAGCAGGGCGCCTGCCTTGCACAGGGCCAACCTGGGGCTCAATCCCTGGCATCCCCTGTGGCTCCTTGAGCCTGTTCAGGAGTGATACCTGAGCACAGAGCCATGACAAAACCTTGAGTACTGCTGTTGTGGTCCCAGTACCAAAAAAATCCCTCAAAATTAAAAGGGCTAAAAGGACAGAACTTTGATTGAGACCACAATGGTTAATCATAAGAGTCTTTTTCTAGGACCTGGGAGGAGAGCAGTCTTCTCCAGAGTTTGGGGTGTAGTGAGCTCTGGGATGGATGTGGAGGGCCTGGGAGAAGGCATGCAGGCTTATCCTCTTGGCCTGAACCTCTGCTGCCCCAGGAAGCTGTGGGCATCCCACCCTCAAGCCGCCAAACGAGGGTGATGAAAAGCAAAAGCAAAGAAGCTCTTGTGTACCCTTTCCTACACTAGCAATGACTATCCCCCCCCCCCACACACACACAGAGTGGATTTTATTTATTTGGGGCGGGGGGAGGGAGATGTCACCCAGCAATACTCAGGGCTTTCTCCTGGCTTTGTGCTCAGGGGTCACTCCAGGCAGGTTTGGGAGATTCTAATCAAAAACAGGAGCTAAAAAAGCTGAGAGCTGATAGGACCAGACAGAAAGGGAGCCGAGTCACGGCGGGGAAGAGGCTCCCCACTCAGAGGTTGATGGGGTCTGGGATGATGGTGTGCGTGTCTAGGGATGGGCTGGGGACCCCAGAGGAGTCCAGATCCCGGAATCCTGAGGGAACTGGCACTAAACGAGCTTCTCAGCACAATCAGCCTGGCCCTTGGGTGCAAAGCACATGACTTGGGGGGGGGGGGGGAAGGAGGTTGGCATGTGGGTGGGTAGGGGAATGGAACCCAGGCCTCTTCCAGATGAAACATGTGCTCTACCACTGAGCTCCATCCTCCATCCCCAGCCCTGGGCTGGAATGTTTGAGGGCTGGGATGAAATTATGTCCAGGGGGTGCCTGCGATTGCTTCTGAGTCACATGCAACAAACAGAAGGGACTTAAGAATAAACCCGGCCTGCGTCTCACAATATCCCGGCTGGGTAGGTGGGTAGAAGGTTGGGAAAGGAGGCATGTGGAAGTGAAGGAAAAGGGCAAGAAGGTGAAACTTAATCTATGGAAACATTCTTGGGCGGCCAGGAGGCGGAAATTTCTGTTTGCCTGTGTGGTAGGTCTGCCCCGGACCTGCATTTTCCTTAAAGGGCACATCTTGTTTTGATTGGGGCTGTATTTTAAGAATGTGTCAATTATGAATAAATAGAGCCTGTGCCAATAATTGCCCTGAGAGGTTTTGTGAAAGGGGGGGGGGGGCGGCGAGGGAATAAACATATTCTATGTTTCTGTTTTAAAAATAAACTCCAGATAGGCACATTTTCCATTTTGTTTCCCCACTTGGTTTCACGTGAATTGTGTCTACTCCAAACAGGAAGGCGGCATTTTGGATTTTCCGAGATTAAGACCTCAGAGAAATGATGTTCCTTTTACCTTTCTTTGCGAGTGAGGCAGCTTTTTGTAACTGTAAAGGACAGCAGGAAGTGCCCTTCTACCACTCTATTAATAAATGGTTCGTTTTTCCTGTGGGTAAGATTTTATACCCAGGAGACATAGTTCAAGTGGCTGAGTGCATGCTCAGCATGGTTTGTATGCATGAGGTCCTTCTTGGTCCCGAGCACCCCATGGACCCTGGAGAACCACAAGGTATGGCCCCAAACTAAAAACCTCACCAAATCTGAATTCCCATCCACTGGATAAAATGATCCTTTCAGTAACTGTGGACTCTTGCGATGGCAGAGTTTGAAAGGAATCACCATGGTCCAATTTTAGAGACACTTTAACTCCAGGCAGTCTATGGAGCTCGGGCAGAATTTGCTTCTGTCACATGGGTGTTTTATCAGTCAGGCCATAATGCCAGCCTAGATGATATACCACAAGCCTGTGTCCTAGGCTGGGGAGTTAGGCTGCTTTGAACGAAGAGGACACAACTCATGGCCAGTTTGACCACGAACACGGGCGTACCACACCTGGGGCACAGAGTATGCTCAGTCCCATCTCATCATCAGTGGTGGAAATGAAACTTGTGTCTTTTTTATTTTTGTTTGTTTTGGAGGCACACTGGGTGATGCTCAGGGGTTACTCCTGGCTCTGCACTCCTCAGGAATCACTGCCAGGGTTGTTCAGGGAATCATATGGGATGCCAGGGAACGAACCAGGGTCAGCACATGCAAAAAAAAAATGCCCTTCCTGCTATACTATGGCTCTGGCATCTCCACTCTAGGGTGAAGAGCATGGCTCTGTCCAGGAGACAGGCAGGAAGAATGCCAGGGTGGCCTGACACCATCAAGTGAGATCACAGAATGGGACTCAGCATGCTGATGGCTGAAGGAGATAAAAGTCTGATTTCTTATCATTTTCTCTTAAATTTGGTGGTGCTAGTGGTAGTAGGGCATACACCTGATGATGCTCAATGTTTATTCCTGGCTCTGGGCTCATAGATCACTCCTGGCAAGGTTGGAGAAACTGTAATGGGTGCTGGGGATGGAATGTGGCTTAGTCGCAGGCCAGGCAAGTACCCTGCCCAATGTACTATATCTCTCCAGCCCAGAAATTGGAATTCTTAAAATACAAATACTCTAAGTCAAGCTAGATTGCAGGCCCTAGAGCAAATGCTGACCCTAGTTTCCAGGATACTGCATATGGGCAAACATTTCTGACAGGGAGTTAATGCAATCCAAAGAAGAGTCTGTGGAGTTTTCTTGAATTTTTATGTGAGTTGTGGGATGGGGACTGGATCTCCGAGAGGAGTGGAACCAGGCAACAGGGGACAAAGCACTGGCCGTGTTTCAGAGCTTGACCTCTTGCTTTGCTATGCAACTTGAACAAAGCCCCAATGCTGAGATCTCTGACAGTCCACAGTTTACTCCAACCTGGCAGGAATTTGGGTATCTGACTCTGTAATTAGTGGGTTAGGAATTTTTTTTTCTCAATTCAGAAAAAAAATGTGGCTAGGAAAATGACTGCTTCCTTGTTAACTCCAAGTCCCAACCTACCAAGAAGAAAAGGTGAGGGGTTGAAGGAGAGTACAGTGAGTAGGGGTGCTTGGCTTGCATACAGCTGACCCAGGTTCGAATCCAGCCATCCCCTATGTTCCCCTGAGCACTGCCAGAATTCTTGAATGTAGAACCAGAACTAACCCCTGAGCATTGCTGGGTGTGGTCCCCAAACCAATAAATAAATAAAAATACAAAGTTCTTAGTTAAAAATAAAAGAAAAAAAGAGAAATGCAGAATAATCTTTTAGCCATTCCAGGGTTCAGAAGGGGGACTTACATTCAACCCATACCGGCATCCATGGGAACACGCCCCTTCTATGAAAAGCAACTGGTTTAAGTTTTAAGTGGCAGCTGCATGTTAGAATCATGCTTAAGTTGCTTTTCTATTCCTCTCTCCTGCACAGAACACATGTTCTGCATTCCAACTTCAAGTGCATCCTGCCAAAGTTGGTTAGCTAGTCAGGTCAATGTTTTATCAATTGCATTTCAATTAGTGGTCAGTAGAAGCATGCAGTTTAGGCTGGTAAGTAATGTATTCCTATGAATACAAGACAACTTACTCTGCGTCATCAGACACAGGAGTTCTTGGACCGTATCTACAAGACCAAATACAAAATTAGAGAATTGGCAAGAGACAAGGTTCACACCATAACCAAGCTGGAAATAAAAGCTACTGGTGAAATACATGTGTGTGCGCCAAACCTTTTTTTTTTTTTTGCTGATTATACTGTAAGAGAAATATCTTTACACAATTAGCAACAGTCTGTTAACAGCTGAAAATGAAAAAAAAAGTGTTAGCATTTCTAAAGAATGCAAAATTGTGTTAAAATCCAGAAGAGATGTGAAAATAATCCCTCATGCTATTCACAAAGGAACAATGCATCCCATATAAGCATACAAAGGCTTCGATGCAGACCAGTGTGTTTAGAGATGGCAGTTTCGAATCAAACCTGGGTTGCCGGCATTCACACACAGTTAACTGTTTATACCTATCTTGTGGCAGTAATAGACTGTAATGGACACTCCACACACAAGCACACACTTACTGACCCTTTCCCTGATGTGTTTGTTAATGCTTTTGCACACATGACATCAAAAAAGCATTTCTGTACTTTTCTGAAAACAAACCAGAACTCCAGGCAGAACCCCAACCAGGGCCTTCCACATGCATTTGACAAAAACCACAATTCCTAGAAAACTGGCAGTCTTAATCAAAACCAGACTTGGGTGATATTCCATAGCTTTAAGAAACCACACACACACACACACACACACACACACACACACACACACACACACACACACCTTTTATGATCTTCTGATAATTCAGAATTGTAAAGTTGTATTCTCTGTGATATATGTTCTTTAAGTTTAAGTATGCACAATAAACAATCAAATTAAAAAATAAGTTAGAATATACAAGCACATTTTAAAGAATATTTTAAGCAGATTTTTAAAAAGGTAGCTCTCATAAATGACTGTTCTTTTAGCAGAAGGAAATTTTAACAGAAGGTTCTCGCTTACCTACACCCTGAAAAGCTGCTCATTCCTGCACTCTGATGGTGGACAAAGAATTATTTAAGTGAAGAAAATGTGACCTGCTTTCAGTTTCCAATAAAGTTAATTTTGGGGTTGTCAGCAAAAATTACTTGGTCCCATGTTCAGTTTCATAACAATTTATGGGGAAAACAGCAATTTTTTAAAGATCTCTTCCTATTATCTTAGAGAAACCAGAACACATGATCTACACACGAACACCCTTGGTTCATGCTTTTTAAATTCTTTTTCATTGTCAAACAGTCTGCATTTATTCTTGGCTCTTTTTGTTCACAATGAAGGCAGCTCCAGCATGCAAAGCCTGAGATCTCTGTAGAAACGGCTCAAGGGAAGATCAGGAAAGGGGCTGTGGATGGCTTTCTTTTGGCACTAACACACATTTTAAATTTCTCCAGTTTCAGAAGGTGAGGCATCCAACTTCCCCCAAATACCATGACATTAAGGCAAAAAAACCAATGGATTCATTCATATCAAGAAAGAGTGCAACAATAGTTAATTCTGAAGTGTGGATCAATGTGTCAAGGGTAATGAATAAACCTCCAGGAACAGACTTATTCAAATATGGTGCTTTCTAAATTATGCCTGGAAGGAGCAGAGAAGCTCCTCTGAACAATGGTTAACCTGGAAATAATCCATTAAGAATTGGTATGTGGTTTTATATCTCTATTTGAAATTTAAATCAATGCTTCATTAGAAAGTTTACTACCACAGACATATACCCCTAGGGGTTTTCCCAAACCACATACCCACAGATATTGGTGTTGTGTGCTTGGTCTGGCATAAATGGGTCGACAAGTATATATTCTTCCAAATCTGGCCTTGTTTTATTTGTTTGTATATCATACCAGCAGCTCAGGGGCTACTTTGTGCTTGGGGGAACTTATAGGGGATCATGAAATACTGGGTTTGAACCCACACCTTCAGCATGCCAAGCATACACACTCCTGGCCAGGAACTATCTCCTCAGCCCCAAGTCTGGTTTCTTTGCCACTTTTTGTTTCTGAGGTTCAGCGATGTGGCACTTACGATGTGTTTGAATATAAACTACTTCTTCACACATAATTAACCACACTTGACCAATATTTAGGCTAAGCAATGTAAAGTTACACTACAATTTCAGCTCATGAGGGCAGGGATTTTATTTTATTTTTTCAATTTCCCTGAATAGTGACCAGACCAGACTTGCAACAAGAATTCATTGAAGTCTTAGTGGATGTTCTGATACCAAAAGGAAAAGAACAGTGCCACCACGATGAGAACCTCTATTTACTTTAAGCCTCTAGTATAAATTTATGGATTTAAGGGAGTTCTTTCAGATGAATTGATTAGCTTTAAAAGTCACTGATTTAAGCAGATGGCCTCTGTTGTTAAAGAGAAGATAATTAGAACTTGGACTTCAAATAGCTTTCCCAGTTGTTCTTAGTGATATGAGAAGCAAAGGGAAGGTCAAGAAATCACTAATAAAAGAGATTTTTTTTAAAAAAATGAAAGGTGTACAAATAGACATTTAGGTACAAAATTGGTCAGACACATTGCAATTGGCATAAGCACTTGCCACACACAGAAATCAATTTAAACAAGTTAAAGTGTAAGTGTAGGCAGATTCAGAAAGATAAGGGAACATACCATGCACCTATCAATTGTGACTTCTAATACTAATAAAGTACATCAGGATCAATCACTAGCTGTTATATGTTTCCATATATATTTGAATGTAGAGCAGGAAAAGGTTTTACTGCTCACTGAAGGGATCCCCTGTTCCCTGGCATAGCAATTCTCACCTGCAATAACTCAATAAACATTTGTTGAAAGGGAACGAGAGTTTCTCAGGCCATTACACTAAGTCATCTGAAGTTGTCTCCTGTCGGTCCAACTAGTGATTCACTCTTATCAGCCTAGAAAGGACTTGTGCTGAATCACCAAGAGAGGGCAGAGAGAAGGGCAGGGAATTCATTGATCAGAAGCCAAGACCTCCTCTAGGACCTGGTGAGGATCTGATTGCATTGGGATTGTGGCTAGCTACTCGAACATCACGCATTAAATCTTAGATCTGAAGTGACCGATGGATAGACAGAAGCCTTGGTACCCTAGCTGTAAAATACAGGTGGAAATTCTTCCTCTCAAAGATGATGTGAGGAGTAGCTGGATGCAGTGTGACATGGACATGGAGTGGGTGGGGGGCCTGGGTACGTTAGTGGTGGTAAGGGGAGGTCACTGTGTACATCAGGACCATAAATGTCGACATCATTGAAAATACATTACCTTACCCATAATAATTAAATTTTTTTAAATAAGGTTGTGTGTGGCATCAGTAAATAGGAGAGCATCCAGTTTGTCCGGTAGGCAACCCCAAGGCCTTACATCCTACTTTATGTTTTTTCTAACTTGCTTCTTAACAGATACCCCACACATCAGGGCTCTGGAAAGAGGGTGATCATAGGGGGACAGGCTGACCAATCCTCTGTCACTTACCACTTAAACCATCTATCAACACATATTAACTGAAATCAAACCATAAGGTCCAGGATTACTATTTCCCTACTCCTTCCTTATTTTAAGTTAAGTCAGAGCCTGGACCAGAAATTTGTTTTCCACTTCTAGAAAGCAGTATTAACTATGAAATGAAAGAAAATATTAGATTTTGCAGGTGAATTATATCTTCTTTGAAATCAGAATAAAATCAAGGGGGTGAGAAAGTCTGCCCTGGATGCTGAAGGATCCAAAATGAGCTGGAAAGATCGTTTACTAGCAGTGATAGAAGAAATGGGAGCTTTCCATTTAGTCTGCCCAGAGGATGAATCGGAAAGAATGTTGAACAGTGAAAAATCCATAGCTCAACTAAAGTTTCTGTACCTGCTTACATGCAAACAAAACAAAACAAAACAAAACAAAAGACACTTTTCCTGGCAGACTGGGCTCATTTTAGTCATTCCGTTTCCACTTACATTAGCAGATGAATGGCCTTGAAGTGTCCTTGTGCTGAAATGACCTACTCACAGCACTTCACAAGGGCAGTCTGGAGAAACAACGTGCTGAGGGCATGGGCCATCTTGACTACCCTTATTGCTGAATCCTTGGCAGGTGCCACTACAACCTGGTGCTTTGCAAATGGAACCAGAAGGAACTGCTTTGGGTTTAGATCTAGAGTATCAGAGAGACCATCTTGTTTCTGTCCATTCTCTGGGGGAATCCTCAACTTCCTGTTTTTTCTGTTCACATCCCCCCCAGGCAGGAGCTGCGACCCTCCTAAGTGTCCTCCTTTAAAAAAAAAATTTTTTTTTTAAAGTGGCTGGAGTGATAGCACAGCGGGTAAGGCATTTGCCTTGCATGAAGCCAACCTGGGTTCGATTCTCAGCATCCCATATGGTCCCCAGAGCACCACCAGGAGTAAGTCCTGAGTGCACGAGCCAGAAGTAACCCCTGAGCATCTCTGGGTGTGACGCCAAAAGCAAAAAAAAAAATTTTTTTTTAAAAAGAACTCTGAAAGTTATTGATAGTTGAGTTTTAGGCTTATAATATTTCAACACCAATCCCAGCACCAGTGTCAACTTCCTCCACCAGTGTTCCCATGGTCCATTCCCACCACAATCCCCAATCCCCATCTGTCACCTTGACACGCATATTACAAAGTTTCAATGGTTGCAGCTGAGATCTCATGTTTTCAGTTTTGTTGAGTCTGTGTTTTGGGCATAGGGCTGTACCACTAACTCACTGGTATAACTGAAGCCCTGATGCCTGTTCACCATTACTTCCAGTTCTCTTCTTCCCCCTTGATTTCTTTCCTTCTCTGGTCTTTCTCCTCTCTAAACACTGGGGTCAAGGGTGACTGAGGCATTCCCTTTCATTGCAGTACATTTCCTCATCCAGTATTTCACATATTCTGTCACTGTCACTGTTACTGTCCTCTCGTTGTTCATCAATTTGCTCGAGCAGGCCCAGTAACGTCTCCATTGTGAGACTTGTTGTTACTGTGTTTGGCAGATCGAATACATCACGGGTAGCTTGCCAGGCTTGCCATGCGGGCGAAGAACTCTGCCGG